GGGTACAACCTGAGGCGGGACCTCGTGCGCAAACTCTGACGTGCGGCTGTGATTTATAAAGGAAAGATGCGCAGAAACGTGCGTACGCACGGTTTTATAAATCTGAATTTTTTTTAGTGTACGCCATTTTCACCTTTTGGCCGTACGTTCACTTTTAGTATGGTTTCCACGCAATCCTTTATAAATGAGACCCCAGAACACCCATTCAGAACTATACATATACTGTTGAAACTAATAAGAAATAAGATTTTCTTTCAAATTTTACAACAAAAATGGAACTGACACACATTTCACTTAAATCTTTTAAATCAAGCCTGAAAACCCACTCGTTCAGATGCGCCTTTGATTAGCAGTCCACAAACACATACAGGTGAAAAGCTGCTCTAAACTGATTCTGTTATACTGACCATCTCCCTATCATTATMATCTATTTCTGATTGACAGTTTTTATGATTTAGTGTGACGATTCTGATGCTTTGATTTGTTGTGCATTTGATTGATGTTTTAATGATTTGTTTGATGTTTTCATGATGTAAAGCACTTTGAATTGCCTTGCTGCTGAAATGTGCTATACAAATGCATTTATACTTGCTAACTTACTTGAAATGTAAACTGCAACACATTCAATGGAGTATTGACATCAGTACTGGTATTTGTATCGGCCCCGAGTATTTATATAGCACGTTTAAAAACAACAGAAGTGACCAAAGTGCTTCAAATGAAGGGAAAACATAAAATAAAATAATCAAACAACTTAAAACCATAACTGTAATTAAAAAGGCTAAAAAAAAACTCTAAACTCCTGATTGAACTCAAATTGAACTTGATTGTAAAAAGCTGAATTGTTAAAAAAATGTGTTTTCAGGCAGGATTTGAAAAAAACTGAACTGGTTGTCCCACAGTTTGAGGGTGCACTGCACAAGCCTGATCCTCTTTGTTGTTTAGCATAGCTTTGGGTTGTAAAAAGACAAAGATTCTAACAAAWGATTAGGTGCCATGCCATTTAAAACTTTAAAAGAATCTTAAAATCAATGTGAAAACAAACAGGCAGACGGTGTTGGTCAGCTAAAACCCCGACCTGTTAATAGACGTGCATTTTGTTCGAGTACTTGTAAAAATGCTTGTATTGGGCCCTGATACTGATCCCAGTATTGAGACACCACTAGAAAGAAAATCGTTCACATTTACAAAAAAACAAACAAACAAACAAAAAAGAACTTGGCCAGTGATGAAGACAGAATTACAAAAGAAACAAAGTATTAGGCTGTAAAGTTTGACTGAAGTCTCTTGTTTTCCTGGACCTCTGTGAGCGAAGGGTCTGGTCCGGCTGCAGGAGGGACCTCTGAGTGCTGAGGCCCCTCTGGAAGTCAGGCAGCCTGAGTCCATGTGTGTGGATGACTTCACCGTCCACATCCTGTGCTGCTCTGATGGCTTTAATCTCCCATGAAGGCGGAGAGAAAAACAAATTCCTCCTGACGCTAAACGATCACGCGCACATGTTCATGAGTTTCCTCAGACTGCAAATAAAAACGCAGCGTACAGAAACATAAAAGCTGTTATACGGATGCGAGGCGGGACTTTCATCTTCTCGTGCTGCTTGCAGATGGAGCAGCGAGTTCAAGTGTTGTCTGTCACACAGCTGTTTCTGTGTCTGATCCTGCAGGCTTCTCTCAATAAACTGATGGAGACTCTGGGTCAGTCTGAGCCTTATTTTGTCAAATGCATCCGTTCCAACGCTGATAAGGTACAGTTTGCTCTCAACAGCCTGCTACAATATTGACTTTAGTTTAGTTTGCTAAGYGTTTGGTATTGACTTGAAGTTGGAGCTTTTTTTTTTTTACTAACTGTTTATTTCCTGCTCTTTGTGACCTCGGCCTCTCCTCCCTGAATATCTTCCTGTGTCTCAGCTGCCCTTACGCTTCGATGATAACCTGGTGCTGAGACAGCTGCGGTACACAGGGATGCTGGAGACGGTGCGCATCCGCCAGTCAGGATACACCGTCAAGTTCAGCTTCAAGGTAAACATTTTCCTGACATTCATAAATGTAAGTTTATCTATTTTGCTCCAAACAAAAGCCCGCTGGACTTGAAACATGCAAATACCCTGCAACTGATGAAGATATTCTCAACTTCTTTATGAGTCCAGTTTTGTCATTTGAATTTAGTTTTAAAAAATGGTGCATTAATTTTTTATTGTAGCATTAATAATAGTAATGGCTCTTTTCCACTAGTGCCTCTACAGCACGTTTCAACTTGACTGAACTCTGTTCAGCACAGTTCAGGTGGTTTTCCATTACATTTCAGTAACAGATCTAGTGGGTGGGCTCATCATAAAGTTGGGCGGTCCCAGGGTCTGAAAATTGATGCCAGGCGACTTACCAGCTGGTGGGGKTTATTATCCATTAAAGGGCCAATATTATGTGTTTCTCAGGCATACATTTAAATACTATACCATAATAAAGTATCTATGTCACCTTTAGCTGTTATTAAAATGCTGTTTTTATGTTTAAATAGAAAATAAACTTATCTTCTCATCACTTCCTCTTCTAAACGCCTTGAAATTGGCCTCTGTCTCTTTAAGAACCACCTTCCACTTCTGTCCCGTAAGTTTGTCCCGTAAGTGTCTTCAGAACGTGAGTATGATAAATTGGCTGACCGTACCATCATATAACAAACCAAACAATACACGAAAAGCTGAGTAATTATTTATTAGGAGGAACTACTTTGTGTGGCGTATAAATATTATTAGGTGGGGCAGCAGCCCTCCTGCCCTTATGGACCAGCCGCCACTGTTACCGTCATTTCTAAAGTATACTTCAGTAGGGTGAGTCATGAATATGAGGGAGGCTGTCAAGGTGGGTACAAAGTGAACTGAGGTGGGTGTGAGTGGAAGTGGTCAAGAAATAATGTGCGCAGCCAATATTGCAGTTTCAATATTACAGTTTTTCACACAATAATAGGTGATGGTTTTCAAAATCCCAGTTCAAAACATKACACTCTGCTCACTTGGTCTCAGAATTCAGAGACCGCAAAATAAAATTACCATTTTTTTCTTGGAGTTTTTAACAGTCACAGCCCAGTGAGAACACCTTTATTGATCACAAAAGAACTGTTATCAACTTTTAATAAACTATCCATCCGTTTTCTTCAGGAGCTGGGGCTCTTCTGGTTAAATTAGTTACATTTCCCCTTTGAAAAACATTTGTTGCCAAAGATTTCATTAGATGTTTTTTATATACCTTTGATTTTAAACACCAAAAACTTCAACTTTCAGAACATTTCCTCAGTAAAATCCATGTTCTAAAGAAGCCGGGCAGCAGACTGAGTGAACATAAAGTATCTCCTGTGTGCTGACCAAACACAACTCACTCAGTGTCAGTGCTGAATTCATCTCCAGGAAACCAATCACTGATTCATTGTGTGTTTTGTCAGGAGGGAATTTCTGAGGGTGGGAGACGGCAGCCATCTTTAACCGCACAGGCTCTCAGGGATGATGTCATCCTCGAGAGAAATGGTTACTAATAAAGCAAATTGTGTTAAAGGCAGATGGACAGAAAACGTTTGGGAGCGGCCCACTCCCACTCCATTACAGTAGTTTCCATTTTCTGTTTTATCTCGGTGCCAGTAATGTCTTCTGCTAAGGTTTTAGACATTAGACCACATTACTGACCAATGAAGTTGTTCCTTCATCAGATTAAAACATCTTTTCCATTAAATATAGCTGATGTCTGCTTTAGGTTTAGTTTTTATCTTTGCAATAGAGACCAGAAACTTGATTTTCCTTATTTTCTACACTTTGCATGCTTACTTTTTTTCATATGTCAGGCAAAGAACATATTCACCTTTTTGTGCAAAATAAAAAATGTGCAGCTTAAAATATCAGTGAGTTTAATCCTGGCTGATAAAACAGTGAAATGGTCAAACTTTAAAAGATAAACAATGTGTACATGTAAAGAACATGTGTTGTTATGGTTTTTAATTTTTAATTTATTTTTATTTATTTTTATTTTACAGAAGACCTTGCTCATTTCATTCAGCAAAGCAAACCACACCACAAGTGGGTGAAGGAATCAAAGATTGTACTGTCAAACAAACACAATCCTCAGTTTTTTAAGGCTTTTTCAASTGGTGGTTCCTGGACCATACTTGGCCCTCCAACTCATTCTATACGGCTAGTTTTTAAATATAAATAATTTATACACATCTCATACAGGAAGCAGTTTTGTCCCCGCTCCAATCAAATTGCAGTAATTCATAAGTTCAAAAATAGATTTTGAAAATACATATTGTATTTATGCATGTATAATCCAAACAAATCATCCATAAAGTTGAGGGGTTGTGTTATACACAGTAGTAAATTTTGATTATTTTTCTAATTTACTACAACAATAATTTTTTATATTTTCCCAAATATAACTGAAATATAGTGTCGTGGAGATAAATCATCTCACTGTAGAATGTGGTGTGTAAAACTAARCCTATAAACAACACCAGTCTTCCTTCTTCAATAGGACCAGACAAGCTGCTCCTCCAAGCTCTCCATCTTGTTAGTTTAACAACTGGCTCCTGCTCTGGGAGCCGATCATTTTCAGCAACGTTCAGGAGCTCGTGCTGCTCCACATTAACAAACACACCTACAAGCCTTTACCGGTGTCGTGTGAAAGAGGGTAACCTCAGAGGGTACACTGCCAGGGCTGAAAAATCCTCCATCAGACACAAAGTGTAGATTGTTTTTTAAGGGTTTTTAAGCTAAATACGATAGCTGATTCACGACTGCCGATAAAGATATTAACAGTTTAACGATAAAAGCAGAAACACGGTAAATAAAGCTTGTCTTCTTAACAAGTGTAATGAGTAAATTTTGCTGATGACCTCTCTCTGTGAGAGTTTTTGACCCCGTGGTAAACTAATGGCAACAATTTTTGACAAATATTGTCTTGATGAAAATACAGGTGATAGAGATAATACACCACATTTTGTAAAGTATCATGTTTGGACCTAACCTGCAGGAAACTCATAAAGCGACATGTTTGGATGATCTCACTCGGATCATTTCAGCAGCAGACAGACGTTTCTGACAACATGTTTTAAAGCCGTGTTCAGCACTAATGAGAAATATCTGKAGGATGGCATCACTCCGGAGGATTTTCCCGCTCAGAACAGGGCCTCTTCATTGTGCCGGGGCTCTGAAACACTCCTCGTGCTTGTAATTGTATAAACACAGCACGGGTTGGCCGGTCCACCTCCTGCTGCCCAGGGTTCTGATTGCAGTGAATTCAAACAAAGAAGCTCGKTATGAAGAACGCGAGTGGAGTACGCCATGTTTGAATGTCTTCAGCTGAAACCTCAGGGCTCCTGGACACACTTTGCATCCAGCTGAGGAAAAGATGCTGCTGCAGTTTCTGGAGCTGGTTCGCGTTAGAGTTCAAATTCACACACATTTGTGCAAAAATCATTCAGAGCCTACAGGGATTTTTTTTTTTTTTTGCTTTCGTGTTATCCCACAATACTTTTTGAACTCCCAGGCAAGGGAGTCATTACCTCCTAAAAGYTGTTCATTACTGTTTACCTGCTGGTTTATTAATAAATTCACATAATATTAYAGCCATAAGTTACAACTTTAATTCAGCTTCAGCAGACACATATTACATAAACGCATGAAGCTATATATACTGTACTCGGCACAAAAAGTAAGGAAATTTGCATTAGGTAGATTAGGTCTTTGTTGTAACAATGCTTCTTGACAATGAATCTTTTACCGGCACCTGATTGGCATCACCTGGGGGTACTAGAAGCTCAAAACAAGAGTCAGTAATAAGCTGTTTGGCAAAGAAGATTTGACAAATTTTTTCATGTGTGCAACTCACATACTCAGCTCTACTGCTCATCTCACATATGCATGTTCCTTACAAATGTGGCACCATTTAACAGGGAAATTAATAGGCTTTCCAATGGTATAAGATTTATTGCCAAGAAGCATTGTTGGAGGCTAAATTTCAACACAAGAATAAATCGCTAACATGAAAGTTTACATTTTAAGCCTCAATTAAAAACCGATAYATGGCTTTAGAGAATCGATACAGTATTGGGAAATRAAATGTTGTGATATTGTCTTACATGCCTACTAACACAAAAGTGTCGCTAAGTTTCACAAAAGTATTGMGAGGTAACGCAAAATGTTTTTGCGAAGTTACGCAAAAGTACTGCGAGGGAACAAAAAGGTATTGTGAGGTTAACGCTAAAGACAAAGGTCCCTTGATGTTTCCTTAACCGCTCCATAAAAATAATTTTATTTGGAGTAGAGTTTTTGTGTAAGAAGTCCACAGCAGAGCTTTATGTTTTCTGTTTGTTGTTGTAGGACCTTGTTCACCACTTCAGCGTGCTGCTACCGGAGGGCACYGGTGCTTCCAGGGAGAGCATCCAGGAATGTCTGGATCACCTGAACCTACAAGCTGAAGGGTATCAAGTAGGAAAAACGAAGGTATTTAGCCTCATTTCTCATTACAATTAATCAGGRTGTAAACAAAAAGAGCAGCTTCAGAATGTCTTTTTGTGATTAAAGCATGTTGAAGTTGTTGATGTGGCTGTTTCAAGACATAAATACAACATTTATTGAGTTAAACGCCACAGTCTGTTTGGAATGACCTCACTTTACCTGAAAGAAYGGTGTCTTTGGAGAAGGATGTGATGTAGACACCGTTGTGACACACCAAACATGGAGTCAGCGTTATGAATGGATCCTGATAAAGGGCTCCATGTTTCAAAGATGCCGTCTATATAATTAGAGAATTATGCCCAACATTCCGATGAGTGTGTTTATCTGAACAGAGAGAGTTTTATTTTTAGCTTGTGTGTGTGTGTGTGTATTTAAGGAATGTGAGTATATCTCCTTACTCAAATGAAGTTTCTGGGCCGGCCCAGTCTGACTCCATCGCGGTCTTCCCCCCGTCAGGTGTTTCTGCGGGAGGCTGAGCGTCAGCGGCTGCAGGCCTCGCTCCACGCAGAAGTGCTCCGAGTCATCGTCATGCTGCAGCGCCGATTCAGAGCGCAGCTGGAGAGGAAGCAGTTTGTTAGGATGAGGGAAGCGGCCATCTGCATCCAGGTACAACACGCTGCTTTGTTTATCTATTTATGTTTATTATAACTGAGCTCGTCGCCAGTATCTTTGATTTTTTTTTCTGTCTGAGCATTTATTTCTGAATACTTTTTGTTCCAGTGGTGGTCAGATCTGAGAAATAACTCTCACTTTTTATTATAATACTAATAAAACAACTTAAAATAAAACAAAACATGTTATTCAGGCAATGAAGTACAAGACGTTTGATTTTAATAYTCACAGATTTCCTTGGATAGTCTTGCATACATTGATGTAAAAAATTTAATTTAAATTTAGATCAGCTTTATAAAAAACTTGCCCATTTTCTGATCAAATGCACGGAGCTGATTTTAGCTGATTTAGCAAAGATTCAAACATGAGATCATGAATAATGTCTTTTTTTGTTTGTTTTTGAGTCATTTTGCTTCGACAAGCTGTGATTGTTTTATATTTTTTTTATTTTTGCATTTCAATTCAAT